CAGGGAGGGGCCCTGGCAGGGAGAGGGCATCCAGGCTGGCAGAGGGGACATCCGTGCCACACGCTGCCTGTACCGAGCCAGCCAGGAACCCAGCAACACAGAGCATCCAGCTGTGCCACATCTGTACTGTCACGCAGCCCCGGGGGCTCTGCACATCCTGGCACCCCCAGTTCCAGCTCCCCACGTGCCTTCCTTTCACACTCAGGGTCCCACGGCAAAGCCAGCAGGCAGAACCCCAGGAGGGGAGGACGCGTGTGCAGGGTGCCAGCACGGCACCGCTCACCCCTCTGCCAGCTCCCACAGCCCAGGGTGCGGTGAGAGCACATCGGGCACCTCTGTGCAGGCACCTGGTCCTGCTCTGCTGAGGACGCTCCTCGTGAGCTGCAGCGGGTGCTGCCACGCAGGAGCCTCGCTGGGACAAGGGGTGAGCAAAGCCCCACCTCATGGGCCAACAAAGCCACAGCCCAGCTCTCGGGTACCCCAAACACGGCCCTCTGGAGATGGATGAGAAGTTCAACCCCATGCAGCGCCTGGGCACAAGAGATCTCTGCCTGCAGCGTGAAACGGTTAGCTTGTCACAAAACAGAGAGACAAGGGCCTGGCCAACGGCCCCCTCCCTCCAGCCCATGTCCCACCGTGGAGCTCCCACCAGACTGCCCCGGGGCAGCATGGGGGGCAGAGCCCCAGAGCCCAGCAGCTGAGGAACACTCCCCGTGAAGATCCCCTCCATAAGAGCAGAACAAACCTCGCTGGCCTTTTCTGGGGTTCCCTTTGGTGTTTCATCCTCATGCTTGGGTGAGGAGGAGGCTGGTGAAGAAGGCAGCCTCCTGTCCCGGTCCCTGTGAACCAGCTTGCTGTTGGGCTCCTTCAGGGTCCGTTTCAGCTCATTGATGCTGGCCTGATGCTTCAGCAAGACATCTTCTGGCTTGTCTAAAAACTTGGGGAAGGAGAGAGGAAGATAACTGTGATTAAAGCCTCAGCCAAGGCAGAAGAGATGAGCAGGGGCACTGGGAGGGTTTGCTTCACAGTGGGCTTGAATTTAGGGTCTCGAGACAAACGGAGAGCATGACAGCGCACCCCAGTCTGCAGTTCTCACTCAGACCGTTTCAAGCAGCAGCAAAAAGGCAGCACGTGGCCAACCGTGCGTGGCAGGTGCCCTCCATGAAGGGCACGGCATGCCCCTCCGGCACCTCCAGCACGGCCTGCTGAGGACAAGCTGAGACACGTGGAGGAAGAGGTGGGCTCTCCCTTGGGATCAGCAAGGGATCAGGCCCTGTCAGAACTGCCAGCAGCCTCCTCTGCTGCTCTCGTGCCAGGCACAAAGGGACCCCAGCCTCTGTCCCAGCCAGGGCAGGAGACCAGCACTTCCAACAGAGCGCCTTCCAAGTGGGCTTTGCCAAAGGGCAGGAGGGCAAGGGCTGGTCAGAGATGTCCAGCACGGATCCAGGTCTGGATCACCATGGAGCAGCACCCTGTGGCAGGGTCTGGCCTGCTGTGCAGAGAGGACAGCCCCAAGCACTCGGTGCAAGGTGGGGTTTAAGCGTTAGAGCATCGCTTTGTGATGGTACAGGCACTGGGGTGGCTCCCCTCGTTCTGCCGCAGAGGTGGGCAAACCAGCTCAGAGCAAAAACCAGCAAGAGCAAGAACCCTGGATTCTGCTTCAAACTCAAACCTCTCCTGAGGTTCGAAAGGAGTCCCCTAAAATACCTCCCCTGATATTTCTCCTCAGCAACAGCCCAGAGACCCAAAAGAGCCCCATGAAAAACCTCACCAATTTTTGCAGATCCTGAAGACTCAGCACACCTAATGAACAAACTCCCCTGTGGACCCGCGTGCTGAGCCGTGGCCAAGCGCATCGTGGTTTGCCCACCTCTGGGCTCGGGTGTGCCGGGGGCCGGGGGAGCAGCACATGCACATGCGGCGGGTAAGCAATGAGGCGGGCAGGGGAGGGACCAGAGCGGTGCCCACGGCCCTGGCGGGGTCTGCCCTGCGGTGCCGAGCGGGACAGTGACGGCTGCATGGTGCTGGCGC